TTTAAAAACTATTAAGTCAGATCCTGAAACCTCTAGGTTTCTCTAGGCATTTGCCTGATCTTTAGCATATCCCCATCATCAGTTCACATTGTATCGGATCACAACTTGTTACTGAGGCTTCTCTTCAAATCACATATCAGCTATGGGATGTTCCAACAGTGTTCCCTCCCTTTCAATTTTTTTTTTCTGGAGAAGAGCACCTGCAACTCCATTTCATCTCAATTTCCCTGTCTCCAGTTAACTTGGACATGTCTAGAAATTTGTAGTGGTTTTTTGGATGAGGACTATCCCTACTAGGGTAGATTTTTAATGTTCAATTCAATAAGCATGTATTGAATATTTCCAGCATGCCTAGCCTAATGGTAAATATATGCACGGGACCATTATGGTGCAGATGGCTGCTTTTGTACCATTAACTGGAAATTACTCAGCAGATATCTGTCATGTTAAGCAACAAGATACTTTGTTGCTAACCCATTACTCAGCCTTGCTTGACTAGAATTCCCTAATTCTGGATTTCTTTGAAGTGTGGTTGCAAAGCCCCACCATTTAGGTATAGGTAAAAGCCCCACATATAGGTAAAAGACTACTTACAGTGGAATGTCTTGTTCGAAGTACCATGAACTGATTCCTGGTCAGAATAGGAAAGGGCTCAGATCGCTATGAAACAAAGTAAGCACACCAGGTTGACTTCAGGGAGATGACATTTTTGCATTAGACAGGTGTAAGGTAGAATCTAATAGTACAGACTGACTTGAAGATTGAACAAAAGCAACCCTGAAAAAGCCAGTAATGCCATTTACTGAAGCACCCATATTAGTTTGGGTGCAGAATGATCAGTGCAGAATTAAGGATATTAGATTATTTTCTCATCAAGGGAAGATTTATAGCATAAGATAACAGTTCAGCTCCTCTGCTATAGATAACAGTTCAGCTCCATTGATTTTCCTTCCATGAAGGTGTTAAAGAAGATTCAGACAAGGAGGTTTCCAAGTGCCGAACCCAGGGCAAGAAATGAGGAGGGGGTTTGGGCATTGGTTTTCTCCTCAGTCTTGTCTTTTTAGCAAGAATTTGAATGAATTCACAGAAAATCCATTTATCCAATAATGCTGGGAGATATAACTAAAATACTGAACAAGATAATTTATATTCAGTACATGCTAGACACTGAGATGGAGTTAAATAAGAAAAAAAAAATCTAATAGATATAAAGTAGTCCTCCATTCAGGTAACTAAATCGCCTGCCCAAATAAGGGCAGTCTATGAAAAAGGGCATGGAGATTTAACGAGCCAACACTAGACACACATTCTAAACATGGTATGCCATCTCAGGGGGGCTGTTGCACATGGCAGCCCTAGAACAGGGAGCTGTACTTACATTAGTTCGGACACAGTATTATGTACCATTCTAGAAGCCCCATTTTATATAGAAATTACACACTGGAGTAAATCCAGAGTAAGGTACCAAGATGTGGGAGCATCTGAAAATATATTAGTATAAGCAACAGCTTGAGAAACTGAGGACTTCTAACCTAAACAGAGATGATTAGGAGAAAATACATGACAAACATCTTCAAATACCTAAAGACTTAAGGGCTGCCACTGGCCAAATGTAGTACAATTTAAGCATTAAAATTAGTATCTCTTATAATAGATCATTAACTCATTAACTAATAAAATAACCCACAAGCCAATGCTAACAACAAAATATTTAAGCCTAAGATTCTAAGGGCTAACAGGTGGGAAGTAAAGTTGTTTTGTTTATAGACAGGTGAACTGAAGCTATACCACTTTAGGTCTAATACACAGAAGAACTTTCTGGCAAATTGTTAATAACAATGAAGCCAGAGGGCAGAACTAAACTCAGGAATTTGTAAAGATACTCACAGTCTGCTGAATAATTGTGCACTTTTATTCAAAGTATCTCAACCTTTGATTCCCCTCTAGAGAGGGTAGGAATTAATTTCTACGGAATGTCTAACAGTTACCAAGTCAATATATTTCACTTAATCTTCCCAGTGACTCAGTGAGTTAGGTATTATTATCTTTGTTTTACAGGCAGGCAAACTAAGGTGCAGTAGCTGATGCAATGTGACACAGAGTATCAGAGCTAGGATTTGAACCCAGATGTGTCCAATTCCTTCCATCGTACCACAGCATACATCACACAGGAATGGACCTTTAATGGTTACACTTTCCCCGTCTACCCAGTCAGACAGGGACACTATTGGTGTTATTCCTCTGATATAAAAGGAAATCTGGGGTACTTTTCTAGAAATTCACTGTTAGATAATCCTGATTTTTGCGAGATGTCTCTACCCACTTCCCTCCCCAGAGTTGCTTTTTTGGCTTTTCTGGGGAATGAGTCAGTTTACCTGAATCAGTCCACGTTGATATCTTTCTCTTTTTCAAGAGACTGCTTGCCTGACCACTTGGAAACCAAAATTTCCTGGCGTTCCAGTATAGTTACAGGGAAATGTGACACTATTGGTAAAAATCTACAAATTCAAAGGTACCAACAAATGCTTTCACTAATGAAGGAAAGTGCAGGCCACAAAGGACACATGGCTGCCTTGCTATCACTGTTCTGTGTTTGAAGAATAAGAACATTTAAATTACAATGTATAGTCAAGCCTGATCCTCTCTCAATTTTATTTTGAAAGTGTGACTATGTCTAAGTAATTTTCCAGGCTTCGTGTATGGAACATAGAATCTTTCAACCTTTTGCCATATCTTCTAAGGCTGGAGAAGGTAGTTGGGGCTAATGTTCCCAATAGGCCAGGTTCTTCAGATTGACAGAGCTTTGTGCTTGGAGATAAGAAAACGTCTAAGTGTTCTTTAGCATATTTTAAAACATAATGTTTATATGTCTGGCTGCTTTCAGACCACTGATTTTAGCTGCCTCTTAATCCTGGGGTTCTCTGAGACTGGTCACTATGTGCCCTCCACTCGTTCCACAAATATCTCCTGAGCACCTACATGTGTTGTATATCAGGAGTGCAGAGTGAAACAGACAGACACAGCCCCTGCCCTCATTAGGGCTTAATGAACTGACTATAGAGACAAACACAAAATGAAAAGTCACACAAATAGGAATTCATACTCAACAAATAGTCCAGATCTCTCTACAGTATCCAGCACAGAGCTTGGCACATGGTGGGTGCTTTTACATGGATATGTGGGTGCCGCTTTTGTGGAATATGCAAAAAGATTGACTTGCTGAGTCCCTCTTAGCGTTGAGTGCTCAACGCTTTGACTTTTAGAGTGGGGGAATATGTGACGGTGAATCAGGAGATCTGAGGTCTATATCCTCCTGCCTTTCCACTATCTAATAGAATTTTCTTGGGCTGTTTGCTCTGGACCTCAGTTTCCTTACTTGTAGAATAAAGTGTAAGTACCAGGATCCCTCATTCATAATGACATGTCTGCTGTCAGAAGTTTTTCTGCTTAGCCTCACGTACCTTGCCAGACAGACAAGTAATAGCTAGAGCCACGGTCTTCCTAAGACAAACAGCTCTAGCATAGGGGTCTGTGTCAAAGTCAGGACTGCTAGGAAGATGGGTTAGCAGCCAGAAGGAATGAATTCCCTGGATCATGACACTAATAGTCTATGTCTGAACATGGGAAAAACTGCACTTGACTTACCACCCACTGAATATTTACAGAAGAACACTTCTATTCATAGGGTATTCTATGTTATATTTCTAGATAACAGATCAGAAGAGACAGGAAAATACAGAAATACCTTTCTTTATATGTTTTTGCAAGTGGCAGGAAGCTACTTTTCTATCCACTCTGATAGTCAAAAATGGCTTAAAAACTTGAAGACAGTTGTGAGATAGCATTACTGTTGAATGGCCTTGAACACTAGTCTAAAGCATGACTAGGCTAACTTAGCACTAAAATTTTAGGAGGTTTGAGACACAGTCCCCACCCTCAGGTCTCAGTGGCATTCTTCTCCTAGTAAGAAAAACTTAGGAAAAATCCTAATGAATGCAGATTATCTTTTAAAATATACCAATAACCTAGAAAACTAAAATGAAGCAATGACACTGCCTGTTGCCTTAGGCTGAAGGAGCAGGCCAAAATACTAGGTCTAGATAAACTAGGACCAAATGGTCTTTAGAAACGCATAACTTCATTAATAAAATCAGTTATATGCAGCAAAAGATCATCTCATACTTGCTGGATCCTGGAGTAAGAAAATGAGAGTAATCTCAAATGGGGAACATTTCCTTCCCCTGCTGCAAATTCCAATGGCTGCATTCCTCACCTAGCTTGGGTATACACAGAGTCTTTGCTATAGTCTCTCTTCTTTTGTTCCCCATTAGAGTGCCTAACTTTTGCTATTTGCAAAAGATGTAAGAGGCCACGTGACCAGGCTTTCTCACAAGACTACTACTTCATGTACCACTTCCTGGTCCTCTTGTCCCTCAGGAACTGAGCCCCAATAATCTGGCTAGAAGAAAGCATCATTTAACACTAGAGTCCCTTTGGATTAGAGGCTCCTACCTCTAAAAAGCAGCATTTCTGTGGCCATTTCCCAAACCACTGGTCTTACTCTAACTTTGAGATGAGTCCCCTTCAAGTCATTTTAAATTTGAGCTGATCATAGCCACTGAGGTCTCAGGAAACTATCCCAACCTCAGCCTCCCAGAGGTCCATCCTCCTAGAAGGCAGTACAGCCCAAGTATCCTAGGGCATCTCAGAAAGAGAAGAAATCTAGATTCTCTCAGTGTCCATCCTTTCCACATCTGTTAAACTGTCCCAACTTGAGAGGTAGGACTGAACCACCCTGGACTTCCACCCTCTCAGACAAGATCTTAGTGCTGTGACATGTCTCCTACAGTTCTGTTCTTCCCCTTTTGGCTGGCACAAAGAGACAACTGGCCCCTAAAATTAGACTCCACAGTGGGAGAAATTCCTCTGGGGGTACCTCTCCAGGGGTGGTTAAGCCAGCAAGAAGTATTGGGGGAAGGAAGACTGGGATTCTGTCCTACCTTGTCACTGTCCACTGTGTTCTGAGAGGTCCTTGAGGCAATGGAGATGGTGTCTGGCTGGCTGCTCCCATCCCCCTGGCTGTCAACATCCTCCACTCCATCCCTGTAGGAAGAAGAGAAAAAAAACAGGGGTGGGGGTGGGGGGAACCACTGTGGGTTTAGAGCACACAAGGATTTCCAGTGGGGTTGGCAGAGCAGTGCCTCAGCACTTTCTAGTAGGGATTTGTCTAAATTTATCCTGCTAAAGGGAACAGCCCCGTGTGATTTTCAATTAGTGTTACCTCTTGCACTTAGTAAACACACAATCACTACATTGACTGTGAAATAGAAAATGGCCACTTCCCCATAACTCCTCCAGCCCATGCTGCAGAAGGGGCAAACACACACACACACACACACACACACACACACACACACACACACAATTTTTAACTAGGAACAGGCAGCAGGAAGATGTATATTCTACTTTGAACCTAGGCATCTATCCAGCTGACCTAGTCATTTCTAATAATCCTTGGGCTCAGGGTATTCAAGTTTTTCTACAAGCTGTATCTAGGTTGAGGGTTGGTTTATAGCTGGCCTATAAAGAAAATAGAACTGATAAGTTGTTTTTTAAATTTGTGTTTCTTCTGCTTAAGAAAACGGGGTACGTGGGATATTTACTTTAGGGGATACTATCTTTGGGAAGTTCTTGATGTTGGACTCTCAATTCCTAGGTATGGAGGAAGAATTTATTGCCTTCACTTTGGTGGGTCTTGATGATCTCATGTACATTTGTAATTTTTTTTCTTATCAACCCAGAAGGTCAAGGCATTTTCTCAGAGACTAGAGAAGAGTCACAGATTCCACAGCTGGCTCTGTTGACAGTCTCCTGAGTACACTCTTGCCATTTAGACCTTTCCTGTGCCCCTGGACCATGCAGTCATCCCATTAACATGTTTTTACAACTCTGCAGCTTTAGGACTGTGCCCCAATCCCACATTGAACCCATAAGCCAAGAGGGATTGGATGTCTGGGAGATGATGAAGGCTGCAAAGTCTGCATCAGAGAAAATGAGGGAGATGTTGGTCAGAGTTGGATGAATTAGCACAGGAAACAACAGTTCTTCTCATGGATGCTTTTATGAAAGCCACAACCCTGATGCTGCTGGTGGAGAAGTAATGGCATTAGGGGACAGGGGAATGCGAAGCCTGAGAATCTTACCATTGTGACAAGGTCCACAAAGCATGAATCCACCTCAAAGTGTCTAAACAATCACAATACGGTATGTGTGTATGTGTGTGTGTGTGTGTGTGTGTGTGTGTGCATGTATGCACGTGCTCACATGTAGTCTGCATGCAGGTACCTGTGTGTGTGCACACATTAATACACAGTGTCCACTCATCAGAAAAAGTATTTTCTCCCACCCAGAGCACTTCTAAATCAACTACTTGGTGCTCTCACCACCATTTGTGGGCTTGGGAAATGTCAACTTATTTTAATAACATAAGCCACACAATTTGTAGGAAGGAAAATCTGCTGTAAAAAGAACTTATGTGACGCATTTCAAAACCAAAAATAAAGGACTTCTAGATCATCTGTTGTTTTGGATTATCTGGGCCATGCTCCCTACCATTTGTAGATAGTTGAGAGTTGGCTGTACTTTCTGCTTCCTGCCATTCTGGTCCCTGACCAGAATGCACTCCCTTCTGGTTCACTCTAGATACAACCAGTTCTTAGGGATGTGGGAAGCGCACCCAGAAGTGTGGGCAGTATTTCCTAAGCCAATCCACTCCTCCATAAACTCTGTCCCCATATCCAGAGAACCAGGCTAATGGAACTACAGATTACCTGCCTATTCGCTGCAGAATACATGAAGGTTTCTCACCCACCCACCACAGGACAAGAGAAAAGGTAGGGGCACGAATGAGGTGGGGGCATTTCCAAGATATGCCTTTCCTGTGTTCTAGAATGGTTCAAACCTTCCTATTCTAGGAAAAGGGGAGGCTATTTCCCAGAATAACCCTAGCCAACCCCCCACCTGACATCCTCTCTCATGAAGGTCCTGGACCATCAGCTCTTTATAATTATTTCCCTTCTAACTTCTTTATTAAAGTAGGGGGCTCCCTGAAGCAGGGTCTGCCTCTAGTGCTAAATTACATCTACCTCCCTACCTAGACTCTGGATATGGGTAACTGAAATCAAAATGACCCCTCCCCCAATACAGTTATAATTTATCCTTCTGGCTCTGAGGAGGTGACCTTATCCTGGTCATGCAGGTCTTGGGGCTTCTGGTCCATGGAGGTATCTTTACCTTAGTCACAGTCTTCTTTCAGCTACCACCTCACTCAGGACTAGTGCTGCTACTTTGTAGGCCCTGAAGTGGCTCCCCACCCTACTTAGACTGGTTGGTTCCTAGGGTCAACTAAATCTTCTGAATTTATTCCATTCATGAAGAGGGGAGGAGAAAAGAATCTGATACCACCAATGATCATTACCCCCCAGAGCTCTGTTTTTGCTGTATTTTTTTGGTGAAGATTTATGTGAAGTTTTTGTATGCTTTCTTTTGCAGTGCCCTCCAAAAGAGTTACCGTAAGTATAGATGTCCCATGGAGACTTGGCAAAGAAATACTTAAGAAGTCACCCACTAGTTTAGAGGAAACTGGGATTCAGAGGGGTCCAGAGAGATATAAGAAATAAATTCTCTTCTGCCCGATGACACTGCTTATCTCAGGTGAACGAAGATGAGGACTCTGTGAGGATTGCAGTAAAAGCTGCAGTGATCGTACCACCCCACCCCACACAATACAGTACACAAAGCCCTTTCATCATTTAGGCAGTCCAGAAAGCTCCCTGCTCATGGCTCAATTCCTTTCCAAAGCTTTCCCCAGATACTCCACTCTAGGACTCATCTAAAGTTCACTTTCTTTGAATTCTTACAGCCTTTATTAACCCTATGGATAGTCCTGGTTCTTCTTGTCTAACTATCCCTTGTGTGAGTCATGACTGTTAGATGGTTCTTGAGGGAACTGACTCCTCTTACACATCCTTTTATCTTCTTGGAACACCTAACAGAGTGTTTATCAAAAAGAAGTGCTCAATAAAGCCCTGCTGAATTTAATTGACAGTAACTGGTGAGATGCTTAATATGTGATAACATGCTCTAGGTGGTACTCTTAGGCCTTTCCAGGAGTGCCACCTGCAGGGCACACCCCCACCCCCTCCAGGAGTGATGGTCCCCCAGATTCCCACTCCCAGAAGAAGTAAGGCAGGCAGTGCTAGAGGGAAAGGTGCTGGTTACCTCTTACTATTGTTCCTCTGTTTGGCTGGTGTTTTGGGGAGCTGAATTGGCTCCTTTAATGCTCCTTTCAGGTGAATGATCCTCTCTTGAATCACTTCGCGAATGTTCTTGATCCACTCCTGCTTGGTTTCTATGTTGGAGGCCTGGAGTGCCACAGGGAGAAAGATTGAGAACCCCCAACTCCCTTCACCCTGCCAAGACAGTTCTCAGCCCTCCTCTTGCAGGCTTCATCTGTTGTCATCTGGGAGTTTAGGGAGTTGATTTCTCACTTCATACTTGTGACTCTCAATCCCAGGGACAGGCTTCTCCAACTCCTAGGACAGGGCTCTGATCTCAAGACTCAATGTAGACTTGAACAGGGGCAACTGTCAAAATATATCATGACCCATAAGGCACTGACCAATCCCTAATATCTGCCCTGGAGCTGTGTCTGGAGGTTTAGAGGGCATTGAGAGGGCAGCCGGGGGCATTTGAAGGCAGCATCTATTTCCCAACCAGTACTGATATCTGTTAGGATGTTCAACACCTAGCATGGCTATACAGACTTTAATACAAAGTCAGACCTAGGTTTTTAGCATGCTAAATCTGTTAATTGAAGGCACTGCTATCATTTCATGAATATCTCATTTGTCCTGGTGGAATCTTTTTTAATTTTTCCTGGTAATCCTGCCTCACAACAGGTAGCAGTTATGCTGGCAATTCAGAGTGAACACGTGTGCTACTTTTGTCAGGGATGGTTATGGGCTCTTCCCTGGCAAGCAAATGACTAGTGGGAGCCCCATCATCTGTGCCATCCCTGCTCAGTCAGGCTAACATCACAGTTGTGCTCTGGAGAGCTGAAACCCTTAAAGCCATCCTCTGGTGACAGGCCCCTTCTTGACACTTCTTGGTCAATGTGATTTCCCAGAGCTTTCAAAACGCAAGTTCCCAGAGAACAAGGTCCATATCTTTTTTTAAATTTAATTTTTTTATTTTATTTAGTTGGGGTCTCACTCTGTTACTCAGGCTGGAATGCAGTGGCATAATCAGTTCACCACAGCCTTGACCTCCTGGGTTCAAGCGATTCTTCTGCCTCAGCCTCCTGAGTAGCTGGGACTACAGATGTGTGCCACCACACCTGGCTAATTTTTTCAATTAAGGCCCATATCTTCTACACAGTTATCCCTCACAGCACTGGAAAGAATGCCTATTACACAGAAGGCATTTAGGAAAAAATGTTGAATGAGAGTGGAGCAAATCAAGGTGCCTTTTGTCAAAGGGTCAATAATTGTTTTTGCCACTTTAAGGGGACATAGGACAAAACACAGTTCAAGTGGGCCCTGTTGAAGAAGCCCAACAGGACATTCTCTGTTCTTTTCCCTCTATGATCATACAAGTGCCTGGACTTGGGGAAACCATTCGTCCTTGAGATTCAGGCCTACCTTTATGATAGAATTTGCTTCTGAATACCCATGTGATGCTGCGGTTCCCGGGAGAGGCGGAATGGCTCAGTAGAGTCTCTGGGTCTCAGTTTTTAGGTATCACGTGGCCACATTCCTCTGCCCCCCACCCCCTTCACCACCCCCAACCCTTGTCTTGTGCCTAGTGGAGAGCAGTACTTACTTTCAACACTGTTTTATTGTCTGAGGATGGGGTGCGCCCAGACCACAGGGCGAATTTGCAGGGGTCACCCTCCACATGCTCGGTCACACCCAGCTCTGAGGTCTGTAGACAGGAAATGCCTGTGAGAGGCGGGGAAGGGGAGGGCAGTGGGGAAACTTAGGGCTGGGGTGGGAAGGGGAAGGCAACAAAGAGGAGAGGACCGAGGGAGGGGCTTCTGTCAATCACACTTTAACAGACTGGATATTTTGTTCATCTACCCAGGATGGAAGGACCTACAGGCTCGTGCCTGATTAGCAGGTACCAGGGAGGGAAGGAAGGTGAAGAGGGAGGCACTAAAAGCAAACAGAAAGAAGAACTGTGAACTCTAAATTGCAGAAGTGGGAGGCAGGGGTGGGAGCTTTCCAAATAGGAGACATTCTCATGTGTCCAGGATAGTTTTGGAGTGGAGGCAGGGGAAGAGATGAGATGAGTGTGTCAGGATCCCTTCCTGCCCACAGGTTCTATAAAAGCAGGGAGTCTTGTCTTACCCCACTTGCCCCACCTACCAGTAGCTTGTTCTTGTAAACATATTTTGTGTGTCCTGAAGAGTCTTTGATCTCCTTGCTAAAAACCAAGGAGATCTCAAAGAGGAACAAGTGTCGCTCTCGTCCCTTCCGGATCAGTGACTTTGGGTCCCACACTTGAAAGGCATCCTGAAGAATCAACTCCCCCTGCACATCCAAGTTCTCGTCGAACCCTGAAAAACACCCATTTCCACATTCGGGGAGCCACGTTCCACTTCCCTCTTGGAAAAAGTCTTCCTTAATTGTTAGCTCTGGGTTCCCACAGGGTTTTTCTTTCTCTGCTGACTTGAGACCCAGATACTACACTCATGCAGACATCTCTATACAAATGTAATTGGGCCTCCTCTCCCCCTCCCTGAACCATGTGTTTTACATCCACAACCGATATCAATGGAATCCCCTAGAAGGTTCTGGGCAACTCCCCTTCTCACACACCCACTAGCAGCCTGGGACTTCCTCCAAGAGCCAGTCCCACAGTTTCTTTTTCCTCTGCAGCTCCCCTCCCCACCATTCTTGACAGAGCTCTGAGTGGAGCTGAGGACAAACATTGCCTGATTGAGTGTCCTTGGCTTCACTTTATTTGTTGTTACTTTATTTCTTATATTTCATTCCTAGTATTCTTCACTTTGATTGCTCTGCACAAGCCTTCCACAGTCTATATTTATACCACTCTATGTCTCTAAGAGAGCTTCTCAAGCTTCAGTGTGCACAAGAGTCACCTGGAGAACATATGAAAACACAGGTCACTGCCTACCCTCCACCTCCTGAGAGATTCTGATTCAGCAGGTGTGGGGTGGAGTCTGTGGATTTGTACTTTTGACAAGCTCCCAGGTGCTGCTGCTGCTCCTGGCCCAAGGACCAGAAATGTAGTCACTGGTTGCAGCATATAGGCCAGGGATGGGCTAGAGGAGCAGGATGCTTATAGAGGAGGACACCTGGTGTGGGATGGAGTGGAAGGTGCAACAGAGAAGAATGGGGTGGAGAAATCGTCATGACAGGAATACATTCAGATGGTTCCTGCTCAGTGTAGGGAAGACAACCAGGGCTCCTTTGCTCTAAGAATCAAGGCTTGTACCAGGAAGTACTGAGACCAGATCAAGTTTCTTAGATGGTGGTGGCAATAGTGATGGGGGTGGGGTGAGGGTAGTGGTGGCAGGCTGGGATGGAGCCCAGGGGAAAAAAAAACAACAGCCCAGCCCACATCCTTTTTTTTTTTCTCAACAGATTATACTGATTTCCTTTAGCACCTGTATGCCAATTTAGACTGGAATGTTAAGTCTTGACTCAGCTAACAAATTCCACCCCATATGGCTGCTCAGCCCACCCATTTTGCAGTGTTAAGACTATTTTATTGGAACCTTACTCTGTGGACTTCTGGTCCCAAGAACATAGGTCCAGCTGACTGAGGTCTTGCCAGGGCTATCTGGCTGGACTTTTCCAATCTGCCAGGAAGGACAAAAGGCTTGTTGCACAGGAATGTGAATGTATTTAATGCCACTGAACTGTACACTTAAAAATGGTTAAAATTATTAAGTTATGCATATTTTACCACAAAAACAAAAAAGAAGGGCATGAGATTGAAGGTGGTGCGTATGTAAGTGTGTGTGTGTGTGTATGTATGTGTGTGTGTGTGTGTGTGTGTGTGTGTGTATGTGTGTGTGTGATGTGTGTGAGAGAGAGCAGGATCTCTACTTATTTTGATGATAAAGGCGATTTAAATGCTAGGCAGATTAACAAGACTTCTGTGGGACAGGGCTCTAGCACATGGATAGTAAGATAGTGCTGGACTATCTTATAGGCAGTAAGGTGTCTACATACCTTCAATGCCTTATGTCTGGTTCTCCCTAGAGGAAGGGTGCTAGCCAAGTTGGTCTCTGTGGAGTCCCTCTCATATGCCACATGCCTATGTTACTACTTGCCATTTTGCCTCTCTTCCAACCTTGCCCCCTGCCTAACTTCATATTTCCCCCCATGATGCAAGCTCCTGTTCTAAGGAAGAGCAGAGGCCTCCCCAGGGTCAGGAGCACAGCTACCTTCCAGCATGCTGACATGCATGGCGTCATTGGCTTTCTTTGGGACACTGAGCATCACCTCCAGTCCATCCTTGAGTTCCCCTTTCCCTTCTTCACAGCAAGTTAAAAGTTCCTGGGGGAAAAAAAAAGTCCAGACACAATTAGAACCATCTTCCCCAGCTTCCTCCTACCACCTAACCCATTAAGGAAATTGTAAACCAGCTTTAGTCTCCACAAAGGTTCCCTCTGAGCTACAAGGAAAGTGGAGTATGTGAGGTCAAGGGTTATTACCAAAGAATTCAACCTCTATTTTTCTTCCAGACTGAGACTCTTCAGCCCAATCTACCTAAACAAATGCAATCCAACCCAATGTCTAAAATGGCTAGAACTATAAGTCAGTATCCAGGACAATCTCTGTCCTTGGACTGCCCTCCTGGAGAAGGGAGTATTCTGGCAAAGCATATGAACAGAGGTGCAGGACGGTGGAATTCAGTACAGAGAATAAAGAGAAGACAGAGGTATGTTACAGAACACAGCACTCATATCTTCCTGCATACCCACTGCAGACAGCACTTTTATTTACATGCTCAACTGTCTGAATGCTGACTTCCAGCCTGCTGGGATCAGCCTGACGTTAGAGGCTTTATAGGTTTATGACACTTCAGAGTAACAAAAGATTTTAGGTTACAGGGGTTGGGAGTGCCTAATATGGGGCCAACAGATGGGATTCTAGACTATTTAATTGTCAGATAAGAAACCATGATTAAGAGGGGGTGAAGTGATTTCCCTCAGGTTATGTAACTCAGTGGAGGACATGCAGGGGGCTGAATCTGGGTTTCCTGAATCCAAGTTCAGCACTCTTCTCACCATACCAACCTTGTCTCCCCTGGATCCTGTACCATGCTGAGCCTTCCAGAAACATACCCTCTTTCTTTGCTTTTTGGGGAGCTGGGGGGCATGCCCTTTCTCTTGAATTTGCTCATTGGAGATTCAGTTATCACCATTCCCATAAAAGATACATCGTTTCTGCCTGATGGGGAAAAGATCATTTTCAACTGTCTTGAGAATCATAAGATCACTGGGAATGACTTTTGCCCAAACCAGAAGAATGCTGTCTTTTTATTTTTCCTATCAAGGTGACAGTATCTTGCTCACTTTTACACTGGGAAGGAAACTGTTAAGCAACAGATCTTCAATCCATCCTCTCTCCTGGTGGGGACAAGGGATGAGTAGTTGAGTTGGAGTGCATTTCTAAGAAGGAAAGAAGCTTACCAGATCAAAGCCTGTAAACATGTTAATGACAGCTCTCCTGACAAACAAACTAATGGTACAGAACTTGCAGGCAGGAGAGTATTCTCTAGGAAGTGCTTTTAATAAGATGTATCTGGTCTGTCTAGTACTTCTCATGGTAAACAAACCTGGACTCTTTAGTGTCATGGCACTCTCTGGAAAGTGTCACATAAGTTGTACAACTATCTAAGTAAAACATGCGCACATTTCATGACAAAATGGCTCTCTTAGGGCAAGTGATACAATGTGACATAGATCATTTCGAGAGCTTGTATATTAATCTGGGTCAGAGCACCTCCTGATGCTGCGAGAAAGGCTTGGAGCTGCTCTGGTGGTCCTGGATCTCTACTTTGGGATTGTTTCCTTGAAAAGATGGTAAAGTTTTAGACTTGGTAAGGCATCTAATTAGCAAGAGTCTGATATAAAAAGTCAGTCCTTAGTGTTATCTTGGTATAAGGGAGCTTTTGAGTGTCCAAAGAAAAAGTGAACTGACTAGAGCACACGTCTGGGAGGTAGAAGTGATCGTTTCTCAGCTCTGTCCTTGATTCCAGTCAGTATAATGTCACTGTTGTTCAGAAAGTTGTATTTATTTTTGCCAGTCCTAAGTTCTCTTATTCTCCTACCCCCTTCCCAATTTCAACTCTCCCAATCTGTTCTCATATATCATCAGAGGAACTTCTAAGGTAGAACATAAAAGAGAAAACAAGAAATGTGTTTCAGTTTGCAACAGAAAACACGAATTAGTTTAATATCCCAAAGCAATTTAGCAAGTCTACCAATCTACCAGCAGGGCCAATAAATTCTCCTTGGATCCTTGCTAGGCTTTATGATAAGGAGAGGACTCTACATTTAATTTAGAGTCCTTTGGCAGGACTGTAGCAGATTTACATGAAGAATATTGAGCACTCTAACTGACATAGAGTTTCTATTTCCATGTAACACCTAAAGTGATGAAGTCCAGAGGATACTGAAAATTAAATAACAATTTATTTGAAGTAAAACTAAGAAAATAAATCCCATATTATTTATTTACAGTAAAAGCTCTTCAAACTATTTTTCTCTTACTCAGCAGGCACTCTGCCTCCAGCACATTTGAAAGAGGCCAAAATTACCTTTTTAAAAAACATATTACAACTTCCTCATAATCAACTTCCGGCTACTTTATTTTCCTACTTCTTAGCTGCCTGCTCAGGTATCTCTTCCTAAAGCAACCAATTCCAGAATAAAAGCCCAGAGCCTACCCCGCCATCAGCAGAACACAATGTGGTCTATCCCATTCTCCACTTTCTTCCCCTGTCTGAGTCACATCATTAATACCAGGGAGCTTCAGCCTTATAGGATTAAAAGGAAGAGGTGAGAAGCTATATTGCTGTTAGAACTGCATCATAGTTGATTTAAGACACTGGCAGTGTGGACAGGTGAATCCACACCAGGTGAGTACTGTTTTTTTGTTTGTTTTCTTTTTAAATACACAATCTCACCAATTCCTGAAAGTCCTTTGGGATACATAAGTAAAAACCATGAAAAATCAATTTTAAAATGTCTACTAGCAGAAGAAGAATAATTCAGAAGAGGATCAAGCATTAAGTGGGATAGGAAAGGAGAAGATAACTATACATGGAAATCTGGGCTACGGAGAAGCTACCACAAAACTTTGGATAGCCAAAACAAAGATGAGCCTAAAGCATCTGTCGTTTGAAGATAGAAAGTACACCCATTTTTCAGAAGAGAGGTCTGAGATCTTATGAGAATTTCTGTAAGTCTTTAAAAGAGGCAAAAGTGGTATTGCTGAAACCGCTGAGATATCTGAGCACTGCCATTTCTTACACCAGTCCTCACTAAAGGCCAAGGGTGTGACACCCAGTAGCAACTCTCTAGGCTGTTTCTGCAGGGTTGGATGGCTGGAGACCTGGAGGCAGAAGCCTGTAGTTTCTTCTTGGAGATGGTGAAATGACGTTACACGGCCCTACTCTGACCCAGAGGACAGAAGCAATGACCAAAGCACAGACTCCTGTCCCTTCACCTCACCACTGCCCCAGGCCTCTCATCACAGAACCACAAGTGCTAAGCCACGGAGACCCCATGGGCCAGGAATGGTGGGCTCACTCAAGTGTGACAAGAACCCTAGGTTTGAAATTAGACTGGTTTTCAGATTCAGTGCAGCTAGAATATGCAAGATTTTGCAAGCATCTCTAAACATGAGCTGAATTTCATTAGATTTTATCTGAAACTACATTATGTGCTTATAACATGCTCCCACTATCCCTTTACTCTTTGCATTATAGGAATTACCAGCAAAATATTCCAGATGAAGGAAACTTAAGAAATAATACAGACAGTCACAGATCATCTATGTCGATTTCCCAGGCTTTTGGAAGGAGGGGGAATGTCATCATTTCAAAGTATCAGTGCATGAGTAGGATCAACCCAAATTACTTAATGTTTTACATAATTTGGTTATTTGACTTTTTGAGAAAAGATTTTGAAAGAAAATCCAAATCTCTTGGTTGGCTTCAGGAGAACCTCTAACATATGGAATCCTACAGATATAGGAGTACCATTGTGTTTTAATATGTACCCTTTAACTATTTCCCCTCAAAAACCTCATAGTCTTGACAAACATAGAGATTCAGGCAATGAATGGTAGGTGCCATCCTGGCATCTATAACCCATGTCAACTGGCACTGCCTTTAAGACCCTGACCCTTTGATTCTATAAAAAATGGGGACTACCAGGAGGAATCTGCTTCAGGAATTGGGGACAAGAAAGTCTCTAGAAGCCAGCCAGTGCTGGAGGGAATAATAGATAAAAGTTGTACAGTGGTGGATAGAAAGGAAAATAGTCACAACTTATTCCTGCTCCCATTTCTCCTTTTTGTGCCCCCAAATGGACCTCTGGAATTCAATGGTATAGAACAGCGGTGCCAATGTGAACTCATCTCTGAAGCTGTGCTCTAGGCAGAAGAAACGTCTTCAGGTAGAAGCTTTCTCATCCTTATAGGCAAAGCTGGAACTTCCTTGTCCTGGGCAGTGTAGTGGAGGGAGATCTAGTAGGGGAGGGGGGTACCTTCAAGAGCAGTTGGTACTTGGTGATCCTCTGGACAGGCTTGATTAGGTAGGAAGAGATGGAGTTGGCCAGGCCATGCCGTTGCTGTATCTCCTGCAGGGATGAGAACGAGGTGTAATTAGACATGCCTGGGCATATGGGTGTGTGTGTTGGTAGAAGGTAGGTAGGGGTCAAAAGAGGGGAGAAAAGATGGTAGGCAATTAGGAGAAAATGATCTTTGATAGGGAGGAGGGAATAGAAAGGAACAAAAGAGACCAAGATACATGTATAGAAAGAAAACAGGAGAAATGGCACAAAGGGAGCGGCTTTTGGGAAAGAAGAGGATTTGCAAAACAGAAACAAATTAAGCAAAAATGGAGAAAGATAAAAGTAAACAAGAGAGTGCTAAGGTAAATAACAGACAAAAGGGTAAAGGAGAGGTGAAGAAGTGGAAGTGAAAGGAAATGAACCCAAAACAAGGGGAAATAAAAGAGGGATCAAAGGGAAGATGAAAGCCAAGGTGATAATGAGGCTCAGATTTCTATCCTGACTCCTCCTTTATCTGCCCTCAGTCTTCTTAAAATAGCACAAGGACACATCTCTTCTAGCATCCCGACTGAGAATCATCTCTTATAAAATTTTCATTGTGATCAATGGCACCTCCCTCATCCTTCAGGTTTCCTGAGCTAGAAGCCACAGACCAATTTTTAGTCATTTCCCCCTTGCTATCCCTGGTGACAAACCTTTCCTCTTCATTTCCACAGACATCATCATGCCCAGGCAAAGGCCATGGCTTCTGAGGGCTGTTTGTGCCTCTTGTCTCTCCTTTTAATCTACTCTCTATCCTCCTCCAAAATGATCATCTGCTCCTCAAAGTCTAGGGTTATAAAGGTCAGAGAGGGGCACATTTTTGTACCTGCCCTCAGAAGGCTTACACTCTAGCTGAGCATACTAAATACATATAAACCTGAGTACAATAAGGACACTAGAGGATGTATTATAATAAGAACTGAGAGAGATTACAGTGTTGGGAGTAGTCAGGAGTAGTTAGTAGAGATAAAGCCCTACTTAGAGGCTAGGTGGCGGTTGGTTAAGTAGGAAGTTGGAGGAATGGCACTCTCTAAAGGAAGAATACCAAATGCAAAATATTCAGGCTGGAATAATCATTGTGTATTTAGACGATAATGAGGACCATGCTGGAATGGTACAGAGGGTGCATACCCAGATTCTATAAGGAGTGAAAAAGAGAGTTAGATAGGCAAGATTAGTTAGGTCAGTGGTGGGGCTGAGTTAAAGAGTTAGGATATGATGATAAGTTTTTCAGTGGTAAAATGTTACAGGTCTTAAGAAGATGAACACATGGTGAAAGTAATGTTTCAGAAGGAGTAATGGGCACCTAATGGCAACATGGAGGAAGTAGGGGTTGGGGACATAGAGAGACAGAGAGAGACAAACTAGAGGGTTATTGCAAAAGCCCAGGTGTGTAGATGTGAAGTTACCACATGATCCAGCAATTCTACTTCTAGGTATATACTCAAGAGAAATAAAAACATATGTCCAGGCATGAATAGCCCAAGTGTCCATGAACTGATGAATGGGAGAAAATGTAGTATATCTATTTAGTAATAAAAAATAATGAAGTACTGATACATGAAACAACATGGATAAACTCTGAAAACATTATGCTAAGTCACAAAAGACCATACAGTATGAAATTCCATTTTATGAAACATCCAGAAAAGGCAAATCTGCAGAGACAGAGAGTAGATCAGTGGTTGTTTAGGGCTGGGGGCTTGTGGTAGAGGCTGGGGTATGGTGATGACTAAAGGATGCAGGCTTGCTTTTTGAGGTGAGAAATGTCCCATAATTGACTGCAGGGGTGGTTGCCCATGTCTATGTGTATATGAAAAACCACTGTATTATATACTTTAAATGGGTGAATTGCATGGTATCTAATAATATCTCAATAAAGCTGTTATTTGCTTTTTAAAAAAAGTTGAGGTGTTCTTACTCTAGGCTGGAATTAGTAAGAATAAAGCATTGGGAAGAATAAAATAATTTTGAAGAGAGACTAAATCGAACTTGCTAAGGGGCTATGAAGGAGGGTAAAAGAGAGAGAACAATAATTTTAAAATAATTCCATTTTCCATCAGCTATCCCAGAAAGTAGTAATTTTTTCACTCATTTGCCTGTTCCCTAAAGATGTGTAGTTACAACAAGACTTGTTCAAGGATGATGAGCCAAGAGCGGACAGTTTGAATCTCTTTGGGCAACTAAACCCTGTGAATTTATTTGGGGACTTTGGCAAGAGAGCAGGCAACAAGGCACCTATGACACTCTTCCCTCCTTGACAAAAAAGCCCAGCTCTGTGAAGGTTGCACATGAGCAGCAAGTAAGGAGCTGCCCTCAGTGGCTAAACCAAGCTTAGACGTCACTCCGATACTGTTCCCACATTTAGGGTAAAAAATCCTAGATCATTTGAATGCATGGGCCTTTCTAGGACTTTAATTTTCAGTGTTCTGGATATTAATGGATATTAAGAAATGGCTATTAGTAATGGATATTAAGAAATGGCTTTTGCAAGAGCTTATCTCTTTTATGGGATGAGGGCCTAAAGTTGGTACCTAAGTGTAGAACCTAGGGAAACGCTTCTGATGAAATGAAAATAAGCTACAAAGATTATGCTTTCTAGAAAGTGTTGGGAACAATCCATAGTTTACCGCTTGCCCTCCCCATCTCCAGGTCAGACTTGAAGAATTCCTACTGGACTGGTCTTCTGGTTTCCATTGGCCGAAATGGCGGGGGAGGGTGGGAAATCTGTGTGTGGGGGTGAGTCTTATTTATCAGTCAAAGTCTAGAAATTGGCTAGAAAGAGGGATGTGAGGCATATAGGAGTAAAGTAAAATATGTTCAGTACCAGGCACTGAGATATGAATCAGGCAGACCATCAGTCCTCAAAGGAGCTCACCGGGGAAGGGAGGGTTTGTAACAGAAAGGTACATTGTGAATCTGCCAAAAGGCAGATTGTTACAAATGCTATAGCAGAGATACAAAGTACAATATGTGCAGACAAAGGACTCATTCAAGAGGCAGCTTTTGACCTTTAAAGGAGAGGAAGAGTTTTGAAGAGTATATGTTGTGTGGAGGGCAGAATCCATCCTAGGCGGAGAGAAAGGTGTGATGATAAGGAAGCAGAGGAGTGAGTTATGCTCAGAGCACAAGACATGCATGTCAGAAAAATGCTAAGTGGAAGATAGGGCACAGTGCATTTAAAACTTCAAAAAAACCCTTCTGGACACTGTTAATGAATAATCCACTAGAAGCATATTAAAGGAAAAACATTATCAATCAAAGATAACTGTGATATAGAGCATTCCATTTTATAGCCAATAAATATCAGGTTAGAGAAACATTTTTCTTGGGTTCTTGTTTCACTAAATCTAGCCCCCAGAAATTCCAGTTTGGGACACATAGGACCATTTTCATATTCATGACCCATTTAAAAAAAATCATGTATACTTTTTCCGCATTTGGCTTTCTCTTATTCAAGTGTCAGTTCTTTACTGAGCAACAAGATAATTGTTTTTGTTATGGCGGTCCTGGGCTAGAAAGATGCTCAGGGAAGCTTTATTTTGTAAACGTGAATGCAGGAACCATGTTTAAATGTCTTTGTATTCTCCATGGGGCCTAGCCTACCATCCTGCATATAGTAGACATCCAAATATTTATGAAAGGAAGAAAAACAGGTAGGCAGAAACCTAGTCTGATAACTTCAAGAGGTTGTGAATCTCAAGTTTCTGTCACTTCTGATATGACTACCAAAATAGCCATCACTGCCACAGTCTGTCTCTCATGGAACTTGCTAATCCCCCCTCCCCTAATTTCATCCTCCTCTTGTTCATCCTTTGAATGCTGCAGTGATCCATTTGATTTTGTTTACCCTATTGCCAACAGGTCACTCTCTTTGGGGACCAGCACTCAACAGATTTATCCCATCATTTACCAACAGAATTGTGTCTTCATTCAAAACCAGAGGCTATGATGAGGCATATTGGCCCTCACTCTTCTCTTGGCTTCTGTCATAGCAGAAGTGTTCAGCCCCGTGGCACAACACTCTCATCAGAAACTTTAGACATGCCACTATCAGGCCAATCACATCAGAATCTTAGACATGGGTCTCAGGAACCAGAATTTTACAAAGCTTCCCAGGTGATTCCAATGAATAGCCAAGGTTGAAACAATTGTATTAGAGAAGTGATTCTTAAACTTGAGTGGGCATCAGAGTTACCCACAGGCCTCCTTAAAACTCACATTGGTGGTCCCCACTCTAGAGATACTAATTCAGTAGATCTGGTGTAGGGTCCAATAATTTGCATTTCTAACATGTTCTCAGGTGATGCTGATGTGGCTGGTCCAAGGATCCCACTCTGAGAACCACTACATTTGTGGGAGCTGTATATAAAGCTGAAGTGAAATATCCTAATCAACAGATGCATCATGGTGGGTCTCCTCTACACATGAGACTTATGCCTAGCTAGTTCTGGTGTCCAGGCATGGAGACAAAATTGTCTTGTCCAAAATCACAGCCATTGAGATGGGATGGGGTAAAACAGAAGACAGACACTGTTTTTGTTTTTCTCTAGGCGTAAGGTTTGGCATGAACAGCAAAGAAAAATGAGGAACAAGGATAGTTCAACACCCATGATCCCAATGCAGAGAAGAATTCCCAACTGCTCCTCAATTGCTCAAGAATGGAAAACCACAGCTTACATCAAAGAAGGTGCCCGCATGCTCCAGGATAAGCTGGTTGGAATCAGGCTTGTTTTTACAGTAGGTGACATACATTTGAAATTTGTCTGCCTGAAAAAACAAAAACAAAGATAATAACAGATAAGCATCCATTAGTTGCTGCTTCCTGTCCTCTGCACTGAAGAGCCTGGCAAGGCCTGTACAGTTAAACCCCCAGAAATAGGTGCCTGGAAGTTCTGTGCTCATCGACCCATGGTCCTCTGACAGACACTGGGATGTTTTTCTTCTCCTATTGGCAAGTAGAGAAAGCTTGCTGAAAGTGAGCTCAGTGTAATACCAGTCTCTGCTAGAAAGAATTAGAAAAACCAACTCATATATCCTAAAGTATTCTGAAGTTGGACAGAATTTATTTAGAGATTACTCCCCCCCTTTCTGGGGTTACCCACAGTCATGCTCCTCATTTTGAAAAAGGACAGCATTTGCTTTAAATCCAAAAACAAAGAATGAAAATAAAGTATAATCTCAGAGGTGGTTCTGCTTGTACTCCAAATGTCTTTACTGGAGAGAGATTGGGGGGCATGTCAGGCAACTACACCTTCATCCCTAACGTCCCAGAAGCAACGGTGAGGGAAAAGAAAACAGAGTGACCCCTTGGGGCAGAGTCTGAACAATGGTTCCTAACCAGATTGTTACTTCAAGCCAAAACCCTTGTGGCTGGGCGAATGTCAAAAACCCTTTTTTACCGGGAAAGTTAAGACTCTCTAGGTTAGTGTTATACACCCTTTTTATTGGGAAAGGTATGTGTATTTTCCACCAAATACTTTTTCATTTGGTGAAATGCTACTCTTCATGTCTTTGGAAATCTGGGATGATGTTTTCTACTGAAAGAGAAGCCTAAACATGTGTTCATTACAGCAGGCTTCATTTATGCTAGTGCTGTTCTAAGTGCTTTATATATATTAACTCATTTGGTCCTCATGAGAAACCTACACAGAGAGTTCTGTTATTATCCCTAATTTACAGACAAGAAAACTGTGGCACAGATTGGTTAACAGACTTTAAATTCCCACAGTTAGCTGGCAGTAAATCTCAGGCAATCTGCCTTTAGGCTTCTTGGACTTAACCACTGCCTTTCAATACATCACATAACTCTTTCTACCCTTCATTCCTGTACTACACTCATATATTAAGATTATGAGACTTAAGAAAGTTGCTTTGGGATAATTCTTGGCAAAAGGGGAATACTTTATCCAATCACCAAAGGTTTTCTGAAACCAATTTTCAGGGTTATATACTACCTAGGAGGTTATCCATCATCCCTAAGAGATGATGACAAATCATACTTATGATTGATTATAAAGGAAATCCACAAATTGCATGAAACAGGATGAAAAAAAAATCCCTTTACTTAACAGACAATCTTGTTATTCTCTGTGTTGGCTGTGCAAGGGGCCATAAATTATTTATCAGCACTAATGTAAGCCATGCATTGGCTCAGGTTTTAAAAAGTAGAACATGGATCATAACAAAATAAGATGGTAGTCTGAGAGTATGCTTGAAAGCAAACCTGAAAAGAATGCTTGTCTGGGAGTCAGCTCTTGAGTTGTGCGACTGGCTGTGATATTTATTTCATGTCAGTGAACTTAGTCAACCTCCTACTTTATCTGAGATGTTCCCATCTTTAAAATCTAAATATAGACATAGTTCTGCCTATTCCATAGGGCTGTTGAGGGCATAAACCCTCATGAAGACATGCTGAAAGGTAATGAGCACCTTTTGAGTGGAAGTTATAGTCAGGTAATTATTAAACAGTAGAACTTCTGACCCTGGGGAAGGACTTCCATGTTTAGTTGCACTCTGTGTCCTAAGTGGACTTCCCTGGAGATCTTTGCATTCATATACTATACATGAGCCTGAGCTCAGAATAATGTGGAGTAGAGATCGTAATGAAGATGAATGCTTCAGTTTATCTAATTAGCACCTAATACATTCAGCCCATTTACTTGGCCCATGACAATGGCACCAAGAAAGAGGATGACTAGACACTCATCTTGCAGGTCATAACTGGGATGGATACCCAAGAGTCTTTTCTGATCTACTAAAGAAGAAAATGTGACCAATAATTAGGTGGCTCCCTAAGTTAATTCGAACTCCCTAATCCACATCTTGTAAAAATAACTAGTAGACTGAGCTGGTGTAGTTCCTTTACCAGGGGTGATAACCTTGTTCCACTCTCCTGATCTCAAAGTTTTAGGTAGTTCTTCTTAGAGAGCTCAAGATGGAGCTTGGACACACTACCTGAGAACTTTTCCCAAGAAGGTTCTGCTCCTCAGGGATGATCTGCTTCTCTCATACCTACTTATGGCCCCTCTCCTCAGTCCCTGGTTCTGTGTGACTGGCAGTGACACCAATCTTCAGGTCAGGTGCCAAAGAGTGGTGCCATATACCCTTTTGGGAGTGTGGACAAAGGGAGAAGAATTTCAGGTTGGTTACCCAGGTGACAAAGCAGTGTCCCACATCCTCAGGCAGCTGCTCGTACTTCTCCAACTCTTTGAGGAAGATGCTGCAAAGGGAGAGAAAGGCTGAATCAGACACCTCTGTACAGCTGACTCCCCTCAGAGGATTGTCTGAGTTCAATACAACTGTAAGCCTCAATTATTGACATATGGCTTCTCCACTGTCTAAGTGATACACAGTGAGGTGCAGTTGGAACTAATTTCACTAAAATGTATGTTAATTGATTCATTAGTGCTACTTAAAGCATTATTTTCTTCAGAGATTCACACTTGGGGTGAAAATAAATAATGAAATATTGCACTTAAATCAGCAACTATGAAAAAAATAAAAATATTTTTAACTTAAATCAGTAACTATGAATAAAATAAAAATATCATCCATGATCTCCACAGATAAAGTAGAAAAATATTTAATCCTGCATTGGCCTCTTTCTAATTCTTAGTCTTCTTCTTCCACCAGTAGCCAGTTTGAGCTAAAAACTGAGTTCAAGTTAATGCCTTACACTATCTTTAGGAAAGAAATTTCAATGGGGAAAACTATATATATTCCACATATTCACAATATATTCCAACGTGGAACTGAATTACTACTGAATTATTTGCCAATGTGAATATCTCTACCATGGCTCCTTCCTGTGTTAATAAGTAATAAAGAAATGATTCCACTGACTTCAGATTAATGTATTAATTGGTTTGGGTTCAGATAATATAAGTTTTTTCTTTCTTTCTTTTTTTTTTTTCAGTTGGAGTTGCACTCCTTCATCCAGGCTGGAGTATAGTGGCATGCATGCTCTCGGCCACCTCAGCATTGACCTTCTGGGCTCCAGCGATCCTTCTGCCTCAGTCTTCTGAGTAGCCGAAAGGACAGATGTGAGCTACCACACCTGACTATTTAAAAAAAATTTTTATTGTAGAGACGAGGTCTTGCCAAGTTGCCCAGGCTGGTCTCGAACCCACGGGCTCGGGCAATCCACTCGCCTTGGCCTCTCAAAGTGCTGGGATTACGGGCTGAGCCACCAAGCCTGGCCTGGATAATATAAGTTTTAACACGCCAGCTTTATTGAAGAGAATTTGATTTTTTAAAAACATCACACTATGTTTTTCAAATAAAAATAATTATGAGGCTTCGGGGACACATGCTGATGGAAGTGGGAAGTACTGTAATCTTTACACACAAATGTACTCATCTTTTAAAGAAATTGTATTTATTTAAAAATTTTATTTATTTTTACCTGTTCCTTCTTCTGAGGCATGTACCTATCTTTTGACTCAATAATTTTAGTTCTAGAAAATTTTCTGTAGTTTTATTGACACAATCAGATGGCATATATACATGCATGTATACAGTATGACACTGTTTATAATAGTAAAAAAATTCTGTAGAGAGCAGAGTATTTAAACTATGGTACATCCACAGAAGTGAAATCTATGTAATAATTTTAAAAAATGACAAAGCTTTCTGTTTTCAAATGGAAGAACTCCAGAACAAGCTAAGTGGAAAAAGCAAGGTGTGGAAGAATGTATATAATATACTACATTTGGTCTAAGTAGAAAATATATATACCTATTTTCAATTCAAGAAATGAATAAAAGTCATTGACATAGGAAACCAAGGGAAGGAGCACGGTGAAAGAATAGTGGGTGAGATTTCTTAATGTTTATTTTTCTACCTAATTTTGATTTTAAAATCATGTGAATGCATTTCCTTCAAAACTTATGTCAAAATATATAAAGCAGTTCTGCACCATTCCACTACTTAACTCTGCCCTAGGGAAAAAATTATTTTGATTTGATTTACTCAGCCTAGCTCCTATTGTCCACACATTTGGCAGTATCTTATATTTAATTGCATAAGTGGTTAAGGATATCATATACGTGTCACATATTTTCCTCCTTCAATGACATAGAAGTATGTTGTTTTGAGTTTTAAAAACACAGTGCAATTAAAAAATAGTTGACAAATTCTATTAGGAAAGCAAAAGTGCTGATAATGATTGGTGGGATTACAGATGACTTTTTCTTTGTCCATCTGTAATTTAAACTTTTCTACAATAAATGGGCATTGCTTTAGTAATAAGAAAAAAGTCACTTAAAAATTTTGGCAATAATTATCTTTCTCCTTAAATGTGTGAATTTTAAATACCCTGACCTAAATGGAGTAATTATAATGCAGTTTAGTTTTTAGAAATGCAAATAGTGCTCAAAATCAATGAACTGTCATATTTATTGCTACTTTTCAAAGGACTATAGGTGACACATCTAATTTAACATGTATTTAACATGACTTCTAAAATAGAAATAGGAAAAAGTACTATGTAAGGTTATAATTGAGGATCAAATTTAGCTCAAGGCCTAAAGGGAAACATATTTTTTTGTTACAAAAAGAAGCAATCTGGTTCATCATCATATATACATATACATGCACACACATAGGTACATATTCATAAATATGTATGTTTATATGTAAATATATTATTTTTTGATCTTTGGAATTGACTACTAAACTACGTTTATTATATGGTCCTTTATCCCAAGGAGCACTACATAATGGAATGTACAATGTCTTCAGAAGTAGTTTTTTTGGAAAGTGTTGAGGTGTTCTTTACACAGGCGTGGGCCACCATCTCTGGCTGCCCTTTCTCTTTTAAGGATAATCAAAGAAATAGTAAAACAACTTGAATCAGGCTGTCCTTTATATAGGATATAAAATTACATTCTTATTTCAGAAGTTACAAGGACACCCAGGATGACTTTCTCCTTTTCCTTGACTTATAACCCAAGGTCAGTTGGCCTGGTCACTTAAGGTCAAATTTAAACAAACAGTGGTAATTGTACCTACATAAATGATAATTGATCCAGATGAAGACAGGGCAAGCAATTTTATTAAAAATCCTACTAATTTAAATAGAGCAATCCCCTGACTCTTGTGATAGTTTGAAAGTTCTCAAAACACTTTAACCAGAATTAAATGCATAGCATATGATTTCCAGAAGTAATGACTTTCTGTAAAATGAAGCCATCACTAGCTCACCCTTCTATTCATCCCAGGTCTCTAGTTCCTTTCCTCTCACAAGTGAAAGAACCAGAGTTCACAACTGGTCACAGTTTGAAGGGGTGTTCCAAACCTTCACTTCCCTCCTCTTTAAATAACAAACTTGCAGGGTGCTTGTGAAGATTTAATAAGTCTATAGGTGAAAGAATCCAATCTAGGGCATGGCACACAGTAGGTACTAAATAAACAGTAATTCTTCAGGATCAGTGCTTCTCAATCTTAATAACACATATTCTCTGATAAATATACATATCTTCACCATTCCTGGAGACTTATACCCAGGGAGCTTTCTCCACCAAGTCCCCATTGAAAAATCTATAGCAGGCTACCTTCCCTTAAACCATATCCGGGGAAAATCTCGATTGGGTATTATACAAAAGTTGGATTCCAGGGTCACCTATCATTTAAATTTGGAAAATGCTGGGCTAAACTGGTTTCTTTACTGAAGGACTTCCCAAATCCTGTAATAAAATGAGGTAAACTGTAAACCTCTGAAGTAGGTCAATTTTGCAGTGCTTCTAAAACTTCTTTGTGAGTGTAACACTTTTGGGGGACGATCAGATTTTGCTTCAAGGAACAATCTTGGAAAACTCCAATTAGTAGCCCCGCACCTGCCTTTTCATTGCCCCCTGGGGTTATAATCTGAGTAACTGCACTCTTTAGAAAAGCTTCCTGAGTAATTCCCAGATATCCAGTCCACAGATTGCCATTTGAAGGCATCTGCCCTAGTTTCCAGCATGCTTCCAGATGGCAAATCCTACATTGGCTCTGTATGATTTAATTTGGAGAGAAAAAGCTAAGAATTAAAAAATGATTTAGCTTGTGCTAGGCATATTGATTCAAAACTTTGAGTACAATATTCACTACAATCTCAGTGTGACTGTTGAAGGTAAATGGCAATATTGAACTCTATTTTGCTTTTTAATTTGAAGCTCTTGATGATGTTATGTAAGTCTGCTCAATATCTTTCCACCTACTTCAAATGGACACAGTGAGCTTAAATTAAAGCACAACAACTCACAAGACTCTGCAAATGGTGGGTATTTAACCTTGGCTGTTCTACAGTGACAACTTGTCCCTCACTATACCAATAATTATCCACTGTAGACAAATGAGCAAAACAAGAGTTTGAATTTGGGGTTCTTTAAGAAATAAATACAACTTATATTACACAGTTACTTTATGAGGAAAATGCTTCCCTTTGGCTTGCACAGAATCCCAGGAAATGGGATTTCTCTAGAATTTCTTGATAGGAAACTTTCTAAGTTTTGGCTTTAAGTATTATGGGAATAGCACTATCCTAAAGGTACTCAAGTTATTGTGTTTTTCTCTCTGAATGCATCCTTCATTGAAGGACTGACAACTTTGCCTAGCAGACAGCCGTTTATATTTAGGGTGTACTCTGCATCTACAGGGGGATGTCTATTTGGTGACCTTGTGTGTGCATGTGCAAGTGTTTACTGGAATGCCACAGGTTGTGAGAAGGGGGAGAGGGTGCCATGGCAAGAGGAGAAAGAGGAGCATGCATTAAAAATTAAGCTGGAAATAGGGTGGGGGAAAAGATGTCAGGTTCACTTATTTGTGGTAAGTCCAGGACACTGTCTTCTTTTCAAAGCAGGGCTGGGTTACTGCTTCTTTCAAGTGGAGCTAGAGATTATTTCTGAAGACTCTTAACGATCAGACAGATTCAGAGCCTAGAATATAGGAGGCTATAAACTGCAGGGGCTAAGACAGCTGGTTAGCATACTGGGGCAGATATTAAACAAATGGAGGATTATACACACTCAGGGGAAGGTGCTGTATTATTCACGGAACAGTTCCAGCACAGTTTGTTCACCAAGGTGGAGCCATGAGAAACACTTGGTTTTGTCCCTTCATGTCACACCAGAAACTTTAGCCCAGGTTAGAGATGAAGGGGAAAGATATGCAGGGCTAGACTCCCATTCAGCACAACCCACCCTCAGCCTTTACCCTCAAGCAGTAAAATCTATTTTG